TAAGCTTAATATACTGTCCCCAGTGTTGCTACAATGGAATAAGGATGTTTTTGGTCAGCTCACTCACAGGAAAAGGAATATATCGGCTAGACTGCGAGGTATTGAATCTGCTTTGTGTAGGCATTATTGCCATTCTCTCATTGTTTTAGAGAAAGATCTTCAAATGGAATATGATGCAATACTTGATCAAGAGGATATTCTGTGGAGACAAAAATCCAGAATCTCTTGGCTCCAAAATGGTGACAGAAATACTAAATTTTTTCATCTCACTACTCTGGTGAGAAGAAGGAGAAATAGAGTGGAAAGGCTTAAAGATGATACTGGAAATTGGGTGACGGAAACAAATGGTTTAAGGAAGCTAGCGGTGGGCTATTTCCAAGCTTTATTTGACAATAAGGAATTGCATGAGTTCTCGGGCTCTCTTCCTAAATTGTTTCCCCAAATTGACCACAACTTAATTATTGAGGCCTGCACTGATGTCTCTCCTGAAGATGTTAAAGAAGCGATGTTCAATATTGGACCCCTTAAATCCCCCGGGCCTGATGGCTTTCCAGCTATATTTTTCCACAATTGCTGGAATACTGTGAAAGAAGATGTCACACAATTGGTGATAAGGTGCTTTCGTACTGGGTCTATTCCTGAGGGGCTGAATTCTACATTGATAACTTTGATACCTAAAGTTCCATGTCCTCAAACCATGATGCAGTTTCGGCCTATTAGTCTTTGCAATTCTCTTTATAAGGTTGTCTCAAAGATTATTGTCAGCAAATTGAGGCCCCTTCTTTGTCATCTTATTAGCCCACACCAAGTGAGCTTTGTGCCTGGGAGGCAAATTTCTGAGAACATCTTCATTGCCCAAGAAGTTCTGCATCGGTTCCGAAGAGCTAAAGGGAAAAAAGGTTTTATTGCTTGGAAAATTGATCTATCTAAAGCGTATGATAGACTTAGTTGAGATTTCATTGAGAATACTCTTCAAGAAAATGGAGTTGGTGGGCATTCCTTGCAACTAATCATGAGTTGTGTGACTTCTGTGGAGTACAAAGTTATTATGAATGGTGAGATGACTGAGACCTTTTATCCAAAGCGTGGGCTGAGACAAGGTGACCCCCTTTCTCCTTACCTATTTGTTCTATGCATGGAAAAACTTAGCCATATTATCTCCTCTAGAGTTTTTAGTAAAGATTGGAGGCCTGTGAGGGCTGCGAAATCTGGACCTCTCATTTCACATTTGTTTTTTGCTGATGATCTCATCCTCTTTGGTGAGGCGTCTATGCGACAAGCCCAGATTATGAAAGAGTGTTTAGATGCCTTCTGTTGTGCTTCTGGCCAACAGGTTAACTTTGAGAAATCGATGCTTTTTGTCTCTAAAAACACTAAGCGAGAGGTGGCTACTGAAATTGCTAAAATTTGTGGCTCTCATCTCTCCCCCGACCTGGGTAAGTATCTTGGAGTTCCACTTATTCAAGGTAGAATTTCTAGAAATACTTATAAGGAAGTTGTTGATAAGGTCCAATCTCGGCTTTCCTCGTGGAAGAGTAATCTCCTCTCTTTGGCTGGTAAACTCACACTAATTCAGTCAGTCACTTCTACCATCCCTTTTTACACGATGCAAACTGTTAGGCTTCCTGCTTCTGTTTGTGCAGACCTAGACAAGGCTAATAGGAACTTCCTCTGGGGTAGTACTGTGACTACTCGTAAGGTACATCTGGTGAACTGGAATATTGTGTGTAAGCCAAAAAGGCTTGGAGGGCTTGGGATTAAAAGGTCTACCTCGATGAACCAAGCGTTGCTTGCCAAGGCTAGCTGGAGAATTACCAATAACCATGATGGGCTTTGGGCTAACATGATGAGAAAGAAATATTTAAAGGGGACTACGTCCTTTGATAACTATAATGTGAACTCTATTTGTGCATCCAGCACCTGGAAGGGCATTCTATTTGGTGCTGAAATCCTAAGTGCGGGCAGGAAGTGGAGAGTGGGAAATGGGAATAGAATTAATTTTTGGACAGATCCTTGGGTTTTGGATGGCATCCTAATTGACTCTACGCCTCTCAATATTGAGGAGATTGATGTCCATGAAGTGGTTGCCAATTATTTTACCCAATCTGGTTGGAATATTCCCAAACTCCTTGAAGTGTTACATGTTGATGTGGTCCAGAAAATTATTAGCACTCCTGCTGACTTTGATGGTTCTTCTCCTGACACACTTGTTTGGGGTCCTAGTCCCAATGGGGAGTTCACAGTTAAATCTGCTTATAATATTTGCTCCAGCTTGTCTCAAGGGGATGATGATAGCTGGTATTTTATTTGGAAGCTTAAGATTCCTCCCAAACTAAAAGTGTTTCTGTGGCTATTATCCCAAAATAAAATTCTGACCAATGTACAGAGAACAAGAAGAAAAATGACAAATAATTCAGCTTGTCCGTTTTGTCATTGCCATATGGAATCGCTTCAGCATGTGTTCATCCGTTGTCCTCGAGCTCAAGCAATATGGAACGCCTTCTCCTTACCTGATTGTGTTAAGGTATCCTTTGCTACTGACTTTAATTGTTGGTTGCGTTTAAACCTAAAAACTGCTGTTGTTAATTCTTTCAACTTGAGATGGTGTAATATTTTTGCGACTGGTTGCTGGTTCATATGGAAATGGAGATGCTACACTGTCTTTGACTCTTCCTTCCACTATCCTGATCGACCCAATGAATGGATTTTGAGGTTTCTTGTGCAATGGGACTTTGCTAATAAAAAGGGTGGGTTCCATAGGCTCAAGATGCAAACGTTGCTGGCGTGGAAGCCTCCCCCTGTTTCTACCATGAAACTGAATATTGATGGGTCTAGAATTGGTTCTAGTGGCGCTATTGCTGCTGGGGGCCTTATTCGCAATTCTGTTGGTGAGTGGGTAGCAGGTTTTTCTGCTAATTTGGGTCTTGGGGAGATTTTGGTGGCTGAACTGTGGGCGTTGTATCATGGTCTAAAGCTAGCTCTGAGTT